CATTATATAGGCTTTTTGGTTCTTCATCTACTTTATATTTATGGCTAGGTAAAGGCCATGGTTACAATTATTCCATTGCTATTAATGATTATATGTTTAGGCCTATTTATGTTTATATTGATGATGTAAATTAAGATGGTCATGATGATTTCTTTACTGGATTTTTTAATGAATATGTACTGGTTTTCTTTTTTGACCTATTATCAAACTAAAATCATTGATAGTAATAGTAATAATACTTATTATTAATTAACATTACTGATGCTAATTATAATTAATGAGAAATATTATTAGTTGGACCAATGTAAAATAGTAAAATTACCTTTCTAAATCTAGGATGGACATCATGGAAATGATGATTATAATTTATGGTCTGTGATTATATTATTGACTACCAAACCTATCTATGAGGGAGAAAATTTATTTAGTGTGTATTTTGTTAAAATATCGTTTGATTGAACAGTCTTGCCAAGAATTGGAGAGTGTTATGTATACTTTTTTTTGGGTGTGTTGGGAGTGGGGGCTGGTGTGCCGGTTCGTGTGTGTATGCGTGATTATTAAACCATCTTGTCATTTCTCAAGGTAACTCGCTCATAGACGCGTCAAATTGAGGTGATTAGGAAATGCCACTTCCGACAAATAAGAAGCCCTTGGCAATAGAGAAACGCTACACCACATAATTTACTATTTTGAAGGATCCTTTAGACAGGTTCATATCATGTTGAAGTACAAACATTTTCTTAACTTACATTTCCAGAAAACACTATGATTTTGTTTATACTTTAGGCATGGGATCTTATTAAAATGCACAGTAGCTGTCAATCTAGGAACACACAGTGATCCGGTTCTATCTCTAAGTTGTCTTTAGCCTAGAAATGCCCCGACCTTAGCCAACAGATCTATATTTAGTTGTCTTGGTCACTTCTCTCTTTTAGACAAGCTAGTACATTTTATTGGTTTCGCTCGTTGAATCCATAGACTAACGTGTATTCAAAATTGTGGATCTTCGATTTGTAAGGTGATTAATGTGTATTCAAAAGTGTGGATATTCGATTTGTAAGGCAACAGAGGATGGGGAAGGGGATCTGGGATATAATTTATTTGGGTGGGGGAGGGGGGACGAGAAGCTGTCTAACACTAGTGGAGTATAGGAGAAAACCAATCATTTTCTTGGCGACTGACCAAATCGAAAATTCAGAGCGAACAGGTTAGGTAACAATCCCCATGCTACTACCGTGCATCGTGAATATTTCACCCACAAAACTATACTTTCTGAGTTTAATTATCAATTAGTTCTCCATTTTTTATTTGGTAACTCAAGCCATGTTATCAAACCAAGAAGGTGATTTTGTCACAGGTAACCGAGAGCATAGGCCTACATCAACATGAATGTGATGATGACTGAGTTGCTGGTACCTCATCTTTGCTATGATGGCCCGTGCTGGTACCTAATCTTTGCCATGAAGACCTGTAATAAATTCAGGAAAGCGAAGATCATATGGTTAACATCTTTTGTTTTCAAATGCTAATTAAAGTTCTGCCTCAGCAAAAGCGCTCACAGAGCTCCGTGTATTGTTTATTCTAGTTTACAATATTTTTTCAGGCATTCTAGATCGAAATAATTAAGGTTCCATTTCAGTGCTGGCGCCAGGGAGGGAGGGGTCCGATGTCCACCACAGAGATGCCGATGTCCACGATGAGAGCGTGGTCGGACGTTGCTGAAAATCTCTCGGAGGATGCCCAGCGGCAAAGTCCCCTGGAACTATGACGATTTTGTGATTTCAAAAGCATTTCTAATCGACTTAGAGCCTAACAATATGAAAAAAAACAAACATTTCATTTCATTTATTTGATTCAGAAAATAATGAAACTGACAGAGAACTGAGAGAAAAAAAAATAACTCAATTGGCCAGAAAGGATTGCTATAAAGTGAACCAATCATTATCTAGTAGTTCTCCGATGCCAATGAGAACATTAATTAGCATAATAGAGTATATAATTTTTCTCCTTGACGCTGCCCTTTCCAATGGCACCATATGTGTTCCGTTTTCTTACAAAGTTATATTTTCGAAAGTGGTTGCACACTATGGACAACGTGTATAGTTACAAACGTATCAATTTCTCTGGTTCTGGTTATTATCTTTACGACATACACTTTAACTAGGCCTACTGTTTTAAATAAATTATAATATGGGAATTGCATGTGACGTTGGGAGGTTTTATGGAGTGGTAGGCAACTTTGATGGAGTGATCAGTAATGATATTACAAATTCAGTAGGTGGTGTTGCATAGGTGGTTGCCGGTAAAATGGCACATGGGGGCTAGTTAACAGTGAGGGGATAGGATGTAACAGAAGGTGGGGCTGGCCCTGGACTAGAAGAGGAGGTTAGTGAAAAGATGGTTAATGGAAGGGTGATTGGGAAATCCTTACGAATAACATAGGCGACGGGGTTGGTAATCCAAGAGAAGTGTTAATAGACTTCGGTTTGTACTGGAGAAGTTCTTTTGCAAGGTGCTGAATAGGCATTCTGGATCTGAGACTTAATTAAATTGAGGTGGTATAGCCAGCACTGCGAAGTTGAGATGACTAAAGGAGTCTGAACAGATTCGTTTTATGATGAGAGATTGACTTTATAACTGTCACTCCTATCTTCACTACACCAGCGCTGGAGTAGTGAAGATAGGAGTGACAGTTATAAAGTTTAACGAAGACATCGAGAAAGGGGATTTGGCAGTCACCCTGTTCAACAGTGAACTGAATGCTAATTGTGAAAGCTGTTAGCATGAATGATAAATTCAGTGAGTGAGGCATGGACATGAGTCCTTATAAAGAAAATATCATCAATGTACCAAGAGTAGTGAATGGGCTTAAGAAGAGAGGAAGACGATAGGAGTTTGTACCCGATACCGGCCATGGAAATGTTGGCGTACGAAGGAGTCATTTTGGTACCCATGGTCATACCTTCTATCTGCAAATAGTGTTTACTATTGAATATATAATTTTTATGAGTTAGGATTAACGTAATGATCGATGTAACATCAGCGGCGACAACAATGGAAAATGAATGAGTGGTCGGTAGACAATACATTCCTATAAAGAATAAGATTATTAAGCTTATTTTCTGCATCCTTTATATACCGGTAATCATCGAGCCACCTTTATCATTAGCCTTAATGAAATAATGTTCGAAATAATGTTTCGCAAATCATTTTGTTTTTAAATAAATCTATGATTCAAAGTAGTCATTTTCTGAAGAATGTTATTTCTTTTTTTTCTACTTATTATATATATATTTTTTCTACTTATTATATATATACACTATATATACAATCTATATATATATACTGTAGAGTATAATATTTTACATAATAGATTTATTATATAATATTATAGAATAAAATGTATTATGTAATGTGTGATTCATGAGAGATGTTTCATGTCACTAAATATAATTTGTTACAGGTTCAACGTTAGTGGAATCTTTGTGTTGATGTTTATTGAGATCACGAAAACTATGGTACAGGTTTTAATGGTTTTCTCAATGTTGATCATTGCGTTTGGATTGGCATTCTATTTATTGCTTAAACAGGAGGTATATATGTACATACTGTAGAGTGTAATATTTTACATAATTTATTATACAATATTATAGAATAAAATGTATTATGTAATGTGTGATTCAGGAGAGATGTTTCACAGAATATAATTTGTTACAGGTTCAACGTTAGTGGAATCTTTGTGTTGATGTTTATTGAGATCACGAAAACTATGGTACAGGTTTTAATGGTTTTCTCAATGTTGATCATTGCGTTTGGATTGGCATTCTATTTATTGCTTAAACAGGAGGTAAGGTAGCCACATATTTTTAAATATTTACAGATTTAATATGTATATATTTAATATATAATATATGTGATGCAACTACTTACACATTATAAGCCTTAAAATATAATATAATAACATTGCTGAAATAGGAACAAGTTGTTATAATCGTATCAAGCATAGCTCTTTTACGAAAAGTTGAAAAAAATCCCGCTTGTGGGATTCGAACCTGCAACCTTTTTTTACTCCACCTTTTCAACATACCGACACTTCAAGTCCTAAATGACAGTTTAGGAAACCTAGATCCAAGAATCAACATAAAAATAAAGTACAAAATGTTATTACTTCAACTGAAAATAAGGCTATCTTAGTGTTGAAAACTGAACTTTTTGTGGTGGGTAGTAAAACTCAAAGCTCAACACAATATAATTCTCCTGGTTGGTGCTTACTACTGCAGTACATTTTTTCTCCCCGACAAATTGTGGTTTTTCTCCCAGACAGGGAGCCAGGCTGCCAGCTCTTCCCGACGGGGGGGGGGCTTCCCCCTGTGCCATCCCTGGCCCAGTTTAAGGTACGAGTAACACGCTCCACCTTCTCTTTACATTTATTTCTTCTTGTTATAAACGATATTCAAGATAAAAGTGGGTGGCATAATAACATTCTTTGAAGATTACTGCTTCATATACAGAAACATCAAGACAAAAAGTGATAAAAAAATTGATGCAGCAAGATCTTGATATAATTATTGGTACAATTATTATATTACTCAAATTTTTCCAGAAGTTTACTGAGTCTAATAATGACACCAACTAGGAAAATTAAATAAAAGAGGAGTCTGACCAAAAATAGAAGAAAAAACGTTTATAGGGTCCACAAATATCATGTCAACCGCAAAAATAATTAATTTGAATTATGAATTTTGTTAGTTCTATGTCAAAACACATTCAGTTCTTATACATTTACTAGCTTTTGTTTTCTTTTTGTCAAAACATGCTATCGTAAAATCGATTGATACATAAAAATGTTAGTTGTGTACTCGCTCAAAATGAGGTAAATGACACGCAGACACTATGCAAATCGTAATAATAATAATAATAATAATAATAATAATAATAATAATAACAATAATAAAATAATAATAATAATTAAAAAAGATAAAATAATATTAAATAATAATAATAATAATAATAATAACAATAACAATAACAATAACAATAACAATAATAATAATAATAATAATAATAATAATAATAATAATAATAAGAAATAATAACAATAATAATAATAATAATAATAATAAATAATAATGTCGGTCTTAGATAGCGCTTCATGCATAAAGCCTCTAAGCGCTTCACATTGCTACCCCGGTCTTTTGATCAAACACTATGCAACACATCAGGGATGGCGCCAGGATTTGCCTGAAGGTTTTTTTTTTCCTCCCCTACGATTTGTGCTTTTTTCCCCGACGGGGAGTGCCAACACTCCCGAGGGGGGGCTCCCTCCCTCTGGCGCCACCCCTGCAACACATATTCAGCTCCCTTGGGAGAATTCCATAATGTTGCAGCTAGTAATCAGCGCAGTTGTGTTCGAATTAACCTACAAGGTAATAGCAGTTAATTATGGTCTTTCAATATTTTAAAGATGTTAATGCAATAGGAAAACCTCACAAACACACACATCTGATATAACTTATCTTACAGTGAGTTTTTACATTTGCGGTTATGATATTTGAGGTAAAAATAGATATTTTTGCATTTGTGAGCGAACATTTTTTACATTTGTGGTTAAACAGACTTCTGCATTTGTGGTTATTTTTTATATTTGTGGTTGACAAGTTATAACATTTGTGGTTACTTTGACCTAGAGCTATATTATAGCTTTATTAAAAAAAATACAACTATTTGTTTAAAGGACAATCATGCATTCAGGAGTCCCGGCATATCGTTGTTTCGTGTTCTTGCGATGATGTTAGGCGAAATTGATTCTATCAACTCATTCATCTCGCCTGCAACGGATGAGAGCAAATTTACGCTGCACTTTCCAGCCATGACCTTTACAATGCTTACGTGTTTTATTATCTTTATGCCAATTTTGCTGATGAACTTGCTGGTAAGTTTTTGAAGAGTTACCTTCGTCATTTGTTAATAATTAGTGATCCTGCATTGAGGAAATTAAAAATAAATAAAATGAACACAACACAGATACGGTTTCAAGGGCCATGAAATCCCTACTAATGTTAACCTTCCAAATTACACTAAAATCCAAATTCTATATAAATAGTTTTTATCCAATAAATGAATACGGTATAGTGTCCTCTTCCAAAACAGATATAAAAAAATACTATGTGTATTCAAGAACAATAATTTCATAATAAAAATAGTATTTTAATAATATCACTATCAGCATAATCGTCATCTTCATTATTATTACGGCTACGGCTTAAAGCTTTTCGGGCTTTCCTGATGAGCTAATGTAGCCCTCTCATTAAAGAGAATTGGCTCACAATTGTTCTTTATGTAAAATATTATTTGTCATTTGCAAAGGACTTTCTAAAATCATAGGTAAAGACGTAGCAATATTCAATATTATTCCTTAGTATATAGTTACACTGATTTTTGCTTTATAACTTTGATAACAAATCTCCCAGTTGCTTAGAAATTTTAGAACATAACGTGCGTTATCATGGCTGTGGCTTATGGATATAAATATAACAAGGCAGGCTAATTAGAATTAGATTAAAAATTTTTTTTAATCAACAAACGGTGTTATATTGCCATTTTATGGTGCCTACAATATTTGTATGTCCTTTTTATCAATTTATATTAAATAAGATTTATTATTATTTAGATGACAATGAAAATTTGGAAATCTAAAAAAAAACAAAACAAAAAACAAAAAAAAAAAACTCTAGACTTATTAGTTATATACAAATGATTAATGATTGTTAACGTGTAAAGAAAAGTATAAAATGCCATTTGAAAATGGAGAAGCAAGATGCTAAATGATTTTATGAAAATGTTGCTTCTCTGGAAACATACTGGGTCCCATCTCTCTAAATCTCGGGGATCGTACATGTGACTCTGGAACTAGGGCTATCGGGATCCAAAAGATCACTCTGGAACTAGTAGGCGATGAGTACATCCCTAATTTTAAAGTGCTTCCAGTATTCCAGTATTTTTTAATCATGTGGACCTATTAACATTATTATTAGGTCCATGCTATAATGTTAGCAAGCAGTTAACTTTATAGAAACGTTTTAAAACATTAGAAATATTGTGATATTTAGATTAGCCGCCATGTAATATATTTATGTAAAAATGTGTTTTAATATTTGTTTTATTTAGATCGGTTTAGCTGTAGGAGATATTGCGGGTATCCAACGAAACGCACAGTTAAAACGACTAGCGATGCAAGTTGAATCGCATACAGACATGGAAGCTAAGATGCCACTTCGCTTTCTCAAATGGATTGAAAAGAAAGAATACGTCATTTATCCAAATCAGATATGTAGAGTCAGCTCTTTGTTTCAAGTAAGAAAACACAGCTCCCTAAACCATAGACAAACTTACTCCTGCAGTTTTATCAATTTACATCAAACTTTGTGGTCACGATTTTTTGGTTGGGGGATAGAATGTCATTTTATTATTGCTTTTTAACTTAAAATAATAATAAGAATATTATTATTATTAATAATAATAATAATAATAATAATAATAAAATTAATAATAATAATATTAATGGAGACCACAATAGATGAACTTCAGAAATGTGTATATTTGTTTAACAATTAGTTTAAATAATTATTTCTAATTAAATTATTAAATGTATACAATATATATTATATAGGCCTAGGCAGATACATAAAACAAAAAAATAAACAAACAATGATAATAATAATAATAATAATAATAATAATAATAATGATAATGATAATGATAATGATGATGATGATGATGATGATAATAATAATAATAATAATAATAACTAATAATAATAATAAATAAATAAATAAATTTAACGCCTCTATTATGTACAATCAATTTTGCATCAACGCTGATGATGTGCTGTTTCACCTTATAGGCCTATGGTTTTATGCTTTTTATATGAAGAAGAACGCTTTCGGAAACTAGTGTCATGTCAGATAAAAGTACTGTAGTAAAATGTTCAGAACTTTATATAAAAGTATATGTTAGAGGGCAGCAGACAGACTTCTTTTGAAACCAGAACATTATTTTTATTTTACTTCAGTCGTCCGTTTTTTTCTCTTTCTCATATTTATCATCTAATAAATTCGGTTGAGATGTATTTGATATGAATCTAGTCTTCAAATATTTAGGCCTATAGTAAATAAAATATTTCAGTAGTAATTCAACTTGGCGTGCAAATATGGGCTGCTTAAAGAGGCCTGCAGGTCTGCTAACATAACAACAGCTGTGTAATTTCAATTAAACCGGTCAGGGATGACGATTTACTGGTAACTATTCTTGGGTTTCACAATAATTAAAAGTTAACTATGGAAGTCTTTAGTTGTCTATGGGCAATATAACCAAAGTCCTTAGAAAAACATAATTATCTTATAATAATAAATAAAAACAGAATTATCTTATAGTAATAAGCTTCGTCAACTAACTAGAAATAGTTACAAGTTATACTTAGATAAGCTTGGAGATACTTTTAAGTATAATAATCCTAAGAAATTCTGGTCGTTTGTTCAGAATAAACGGAATGTCAATCCTCCATCAGATTTTGTGTAGAGCTACAGTGTATGATTAGTGGATGACTACAGCAACTAAATGCATAAACTTATTTTAAACAATGTTTTACTATGATGTATCGCCAATTTACTCTGATTACCCTGCATATAACTCACCTATGGAAGACCTTTTCATACTTCCTGAGTCTATCCATAGTATTATTATCAAGCTTAAAAATAATAGCTCACCTGGTCTTGATGGCATATCTGCTAAAACCATTAAGCCCATAGCAGATGTCATTTCTTGTTCTCTTGCTGATTTATTAACCATTAGCCTTGCCGTTCGTATCATACCCACTGCATGAAAAACCTCGTGTGATTCCCCATATACAAAGGTACAGGTGACAAAAAGGACATCAAAATGTATCGCCCAGTTGCACTAAAATCTGTCATCTGTAAAATCCTGGAGCACCTTATTTATAATCATGTCTATAATTTCCTTGAATCTAATGACAATGCCATTATCTCACCTTTTTAATTTAGTTTCCGTTTCTTTTGACCCAAGTTTATCATCATTGGGCCAAAGAACTTAACAAAGATAAACCTTGCAATTTTCATGCCGTATTCTTAAGGCTTTTGACAAATGTAACCACTCCTTAAGTTACATGCCATAGGTTTCTCGAGGCAACTGTGGTCTTCTTGGACCAAACACTTTCCTAACTAACAGATCTCAATGTGCGTTTTTGTTACCGACTCACTTATCTACAGACCCATCCGATGCGCCAATGACCATATCACCCTCCAGAATGATCTTAATAACATTTTTGAATGGAGCCATCTTAATAGCATGACCCTTAATTGCAGCAAATGTAAAACCATGTGTATCACCAGAAAGAAAAATATCCATACAAATTATACCATAAATTTTACCCCTCTGTCTTTAGTTACCACGCAGAAATACCTTGTAAATTTACAATAAATACCTTGTAAATTACATCCGACCTTAAATGGAACGCACATATGGTTACTTCACAAAAGCCTGCGCACACTTAATTTTATCAAACGTACTTGTAGCCAACATCCTCTTTCTCTTGTTCTTTTTAAATTTTTAGTTAGGCCATTATTGGAGTAAGCGTGCACTGTCTAGAATCCCCACCTTAAATTAAATATTGAAAAAATTGAAACAGTCCAAAGAAACTTCACTCGCTATTTTTTAAACTCCACAAATCCCACACCAAACCGGATGCATTCACTACACGAACCGCCTTACTCACCTTAGCATTTTATCTATTACAGACAGAAGAAATTTCCTTTGCCTTATGTTCATTTACAAAATTATTCATGGCTATGTTAACATTTCGGATACCTCTTTTATCTTTTAATACACGCAAACCACATCTCCTGCATGCACTAACGCACTGCATTTTTCATTTTTTCACAATACCCCCCTTGCTATGGAACGACCTCATTTTAGCCTGCAGACAATCGCCATCTATCACCACATTCCGAAAAAATCTCTTGATGACATTTAGAAATCAATAATTTGTACTTTTCACCGTTAATGCTATTGTTATTGTTATTTTTATTATGATCACTATTTTATGATTACTATCATTATTATTATTTTTATTATTATTATTATTGTTAATATTATTATTATTGTTAATATTATTATTATTATTATTATTATTATTATTATTATTACTGGATTACTGCTATTCATATACTATTTTCATTATGATGTTATTGTTGTTATTGTTATTATGCTTTTCTACAATGTTTTTGCATCTTGTTTACAGTGTATGCTATTGACACATGTACAGAGAAGATTCCCTTTGTTAATTGCCATCTCGTGTGAGGAAAATAAAATTATGAATTATGAATCTTAGACGTTATACCTATTTACGTGTGGGGCTAGGCCTATTGATACATTTCGGTAGTATTTGTATTTGGTCTGTAATTAGGCCAATCCTGTTTCTGCCGAAGTAGGCCTAAACTAAATTCAGTAACGAATTTAATAGGGATCAATATCAACATTCCATTCGCTTTGTGTTTTAGTTTTGTCTCATATTTTAAGCCTCAATTGTTTTTTCAGACATTTGACAGGATAGTAGGGACAACACAAAATAATAGTCAGCACACGATGTACCATGACGAAATACCCGACAGTACGGCCCTGGAAGTGAATAAGATCAAAACCAGGTAGCCTTATAAACATTATAATGTATTAAGTCTATTTACAAGCAATACTGAATGCTTAGTGGATAGTTCAATGTAACAGTTGGATGCTTCTTTCATGTTGATTTTCTTCTCGGGGCTACTTTTTTTCCCATACATCCATCTTTTAAACAATGTGTTGATATTTAAAGCCAAATACATGACATTTTTGGTTAGGAGTTGGAAAAATATATTCTGCATAATCTCATGTTAAAAAAAAAAATAATAATAATAATACAGCATGCTGTTTAAACATTTCCATGCAGGTTGAAATATATGTGCAACACATTGGAGAAACAGAGTGAACTTTTAAAGTTAATCGTACAACGAATGGAAATCACTACAGAATCTGAGGAAATGGACGAGGGCGAAAAACCGTCTACTGAGCTACGAAGGTATGTTCGCCATGATTATCATCCACAATAACAATTTGTTGGTTTATTTACACAGAAACGAGTTTGAAATTTAAGTTTGTTAACCAAGGTACCGTAAGCCCTCCAAAGGTTTTGCTAAATATGTTGTTTCGCCAAAATATAAGTATTGCCAAATACTGATTAACCATATCAGGATTAATTAACTATGATAATAGGCTTACACGTTTTGAATTGTTAGGAGTTGAGTAATATTTAATGTATTTATTCATTTGAATCTAGGTACAATATGTCACAAGTTGTTCGACTGACAATGGCCCGACGAGAAAAGCAAAAGTAAGGTGACCTTACAAGAATTGTAAACGTGGTTTGTCAGGGTGTCTTTAATGAGATTTACCACGATCAGGGAAGAAACGCCTTATTATTATTGTGACGACATTTGCAAATCAACTCCGATCTTTTATGTAGGCCTATTATATAAAAATGTATCATTGTGAAATATTGTAGCACGTTGAAGGCAATAACAATGATAAAAAGAACTAGTCAGGTTGACGTATTTTTGGAACATGATATATTTAACATGAATATTTCGTCCACTCTTGCGGACTTCATCGGCATAAGTGATACCCGTCAGTGCTACTTACTGTATCTACAAGTTCTGGAAACTCAATTGTCAACAAAGAAAGCATGGGCGGTAACAAACTTAGTAAGAATATAACAGTGGTGGTAGCAAACAGTGTATAGACTATAGGTTACAGATGTTGTCATCTGTAATGATTATATAATCACTGGCAGAGAGTCCGTGTCTGTATTTAAACTTTTAGTATGGGTTTTAGGCGACGAAATCCAACGGATTTTCGCAGCGCGTGTCATTAGCATTATGGTTAGCGAGACTTAGATGAGCTGCGACTGATTTTCTCATGCCTTACATCTGTAATTTTGTAATTCTTGTCTTGATTTTAGCCACTGTTTCACCTATGTAATCTCTCTGGTTAGACTTACTACAATAAATGAAATAAATAGGCCTATCGCTAGTTAGAAGCATGGCAATGTAGGTGGTTAGAGGGATATATTATTTCCGACATTCTTGGTATTTTGAACCTCACCCTAGAGTAATTATATTACATAATTGACATATGCTGTCTTTACATGGTTATTTTTTGTGGTATGTCTTCAGTGGTTGTCTGTAGGTAGTTTAGAGTGTATTGATATGTATATCTAGATCTAGATAC